CAACATAATCATCATCACCATCATCATCACCACCATCATCATCACCATCACCGTCACCGTCACCGTCACCGTCATCGTCATTGTCATCGTCATCGTCATCATCGTCATCATCGTCATCATCATCATCATCAGCAGCAGCAGCAGCACCATCAGCATCAGCATCAGCATCAGCATCAGCATCATCATCATCATCATCATCATCACCATCATCACCATCACCATCACGGGGGTGGGGATTTAATGATTCCCTAGAAACTCTCTTGAAGATTCCCTTGAATATGAAATTTAGCGGGGTGGGGATTTAATGATTCCCTGGAAACTGCAAAAGTTGTGTGTGGGCGAAAGAGGGGGTTTGTGCGTAATCATACCTTCCCAACAATATTATATCCGCTATATTAGGCCCCCAAAAATGAATTGATATTCGATGGTAATAATTCCCATAAAATATCCTCATGATCGAGTGGTTCGTGTCAAATTCATAAGAATCCCCCAAAAAAGAACAAAGGTTTTCCAGTGTTTTTCCCCATTTCCCAGATTTTCTTAGGGTTTTCCTGGGATTTTCCCAGATTTCCCCAGCATTTTCCCTGGCTTTTCCCATGGCTCTAGCGTTCGCATTCCCGGTGCCTCAGTACCTCGAAGAATTTCTCGGCAGCTCCTCGCCAGTCGCCCGAGGCCTGGCGGCCTATTTTGGGAGGTCTATGTTAATTTACCAGAGGGTAATAATACTGATTATATATATAATTATAATATATCTATATAATATGTATAATATATATATATATATATGTATATCATATATTATATGCATGTATATAATATACATGTGTAGAAAATGCTATATATGTTATATATATATGCTATACAATATGCGTACGACATCATACAGCATCGGGACATCGCCGGGTGGCCTTCAATCTGGCGGCCACATCCAGCAATGTTGAAACCTGGCTGGATACGAAGATGTAGTGATACTATGGGGACTACTGAGTACTGAAATATATTGGCAAGTATATATATATGGTTTATATATATATAGTTTATATATATATATAGTTTATATACAATACATGTACAATATCAAGGATATGTGCCGATATAGTTGCTAGGAACTGAGAATCCATCAAGTCATTGCCGGGATATGGCCGGTCCAATTTGTCAAAGATGCCCAATGATGACCAACCAATGCATGACCCCCATCCAACCCTTTGCGCCTGGCTGGTACCCTTTTGAACAACCTGGACACGTTGAGAGACGTTGAGAGACGTTGAGAGACGTTGAGAGACGTTGAGAGACGTTGAGAGACGTTGAGAGACGTTGAGAGACGTTGAGAGACGTTGAGAGACGTTGAGAGACGTTGAGAGACGTTGAGAGACGTTGAGAGACGTTGAGAGACGTTGAGAGGCGTTGAGAGGCGTTGAGAGGCGTTGAGAGGCGTTGAGAGGCGTTGAGAGGCGTTGAGAGGCGTTGAGAGGCGTTGAGAGGCGTTGAGAGACGTTGAGAGACGTTGAGAGACGTTGAGAGATCTACGTGTGGGAGAGAAGGGGCAGAGCAAAGGGGCTCGACGCGGCCCTGGGGAGCACGTCACTGGAGGGAGACAGGAGCTCCCTTGCCCTCTACTATAATATCCACATTTTATCATCCCTTAGCCCTCCCCCCCTTCTTCACTTTTTTCGACTGCATTATGCTTCGCTGGAGGGGAGAGGAGGGGGAGAGGAGTGTGTGGAGAGGAGGGAGGAGGAGGGTCGGGAGAGGACTAGGTGAGAGGACGGGGAGAGCGCGGGGGGAGACGGAGGGGAGATGGAGGGGGAGAGAGGGTTGAGAGGAGGGGGAGAGGAGGGGATCGGTGGTGTGTGCGGGATGGGATGTGTGGAGACGGCGTCGAGGAGAGGAGGTGAGTGTGGTGAGCGTTTTGGGGGGAGAGGTCGTTTTTGAGAGACGTTGAGAAGACCGTTGAGAGACGTTGAGAGACGTTTTGAAGACGTTGAGAGACGTTGAGCGACGTTGAGAGCTGGAGAGACGTTGAGAGACGTTGAGAGCGTGAGATGAGAGACGTTTGTGAGAGACGTTGAGAGACGTTGAGAGACGTTTGAGAAGAGTGAGAGACGTTGAGAGACGTGAGAGACGTTGAGAGACGTTGAGAAGACGTTGAGAGACGTTGAGAGAAGTGAGAGACGTTGAGAGAGCGTTGGAGGCGCTTGAGAGACGTTGAGAGGCGTGGAGAGGAGTTTGGAGAGGGTTTGCGAGGCGTCCGTTGTTGGAGGCGTTGAGAAGGCGATTGAGAGCGTTGAGAGACGTTGAGAAGACGTTGAGAGGCGTTGAGAGGCGTTGAGAGGCGTTGAGAGACGTTGAGAGACGTTGAGAGACGTTGAGAGACGTTGAGAGACGTTGAGAGACGTTGAGAGACGTTGAGAGACGTTGAGAGACGTTGAGAGACGTTGAGAGACGTTGAGAGACGTTGAGAGACGTTGAGAGACGTTGAGACACGGGATGGGCACAGTGAACACAAAGGGGCAATGGTCTTCAAGTTTCTGGCACCATTTTGTTGTTTGTTTTCTGACATCACTTCCTTGATCTTCCTTGCCTTCAAAGCTTTGCCACAAGCAAAATCGTTAAGCGTTTGTATCCCTTATGTGTACACACGCCGTTCAACACACCATGCGGCACATGAATCCCATCATCTCCATTCGCTGCCTTTGATCTGATATGTTTACATGAATCTTCCTGGAGTATCATGGAGTATCTTCGCAGTGTTCAGTGGCATACTCAGTAGAGGCTTACTCCATGACCCATTGGGTCCTGACATTGCTAAGACCCAAAGTCAGCTGTGGTACCAGTGGGTACCAGTGCTCTAGTCCCAGGTTTTCCCTGCTACGAAAAGTGCGTCTCTTTTCGCCGTGTGCTCACTTCAGACCTTCAGCTGACCCTTAGAGGCTTCGTTTCACACCAGAAACCCTTGGCATCCCTTTGCACTGCCTGACCATAGGTCATGAACACGGGACCTGCGGTCGGATCCGGCCCCAGAAGTCTGCTACCTGGATTGGAATATCATGGAATATCCATTTTGCTTGGGTTATGTTGCAGCAGGACCCTTCAAATCCACCAAAATGATCTATCGTCTGAGGGAAACGGATGGAAAACCGCTGTAGGAATCCTAAAGATCAATTCAGCAACGACTGTTGCTACAACTTACAAAAAAACATATGGCCTTGGCTGAAAAATTGCTGGTATTTTCCCAAAAACGAGATTGCTGATAAGTACTTACCAAGAGAATACCCAACTTATGTTTATAAAATGAGCAAACTTACTTTGTAGTACTAAGCTTTTACCAAACTTTTTATCACCCGAAAACTCTGCTTGTGACAGTGGAGGTTTCCAAAGTCATTGGGGTACCCCCTGTCCATCATCCATGTGATTTTCGGATGTTCCATGAATAAACCATCCATTTTGGAGTACCCCCATTTATGGAAAATTCCCAAGCCAGGTCATGTTGCAGCGCCTTGAGAAAATGTCTGCATGACCTCATCTGCACCAAACGTTGCATCCGCCCATTTTTTTCAAACCAAAACATCGAATCCTGATGATTCTATAAGTTGTTCATAGGAATTTTAAGTGATGAAACGTGGACAGCTTCGGATTTAGACTTATCCAAACATGGGAAACTGGCAGCGATTTTTTCCCCGAGGCCCAAGCGGCTGCCCTTGACACACATTACTGGCTGTGGGCCAAACAGCAACGGATGGTAGTGATGATAAATGCCAAGAGGATGACAAATGAGGATCATAACCATTACATATCATTAATATTATTCAAATGAATCAACTCATTAACATTCATTCACATTCATTAACCGTATTGCCATTAACAGTTGACATTATAATGTATTATATAATCAATTTAATCGTCAATGGCAAGATGCGGATCGATTGCCTCAGTCCCATCAGAGGCCCCAAGCTGGGTGGTTGTCGTTGTTTGGACTCCCACATACTCCCACAAAATATGGAAAAAAAATGAGAATCGGCCATAATATGTGTGCAATGATGTGTATATAATATTATAATATTATATAATTGTACTGTATACCCAAAGCAACCAAATAAACCCACCATCGGCCTTTCTTTTTGTTTGCGGAGCTAAGGGTGTACGGTACGTGGCTGCCTTCGCTTCTGGCTCTGAACAAATCGTTAGCAATAAGCAACTATGGAAAATTCACAATTGGTTTGGTAAGAGTTGAGACTTCAAAAAATGGATCAACCTGAAACCTAGAACCCCACCCCAAATCCACGTGCTTCCCACTCATGAGACAAAGAATCATACAAAATACTGTATTTTGAGACATGTCAAGTCATGCTTGCAATCAGTTCGGGAGGGTACAGTACCCAGCTTCTACATACTCGCAAAAAGAACTTCGATCATTCATACCAGACTCTACTCTTTGCCAACGGAAAGGGATAATTGTCATTTTTTGCATGTATCATGTATCTAATTAAATCCCAAATTTTGGCTATTTTGGGGTACTGTATATGATTTTCCAGTGCTTATCTTAGTTGGGACTCCTTTTAATCATTGATGTTCCAATGGTCTGTTTGCGTCACATGTCAATCGCGCCAGGAACGAGGCGATTGCGATGCGCTGGGCGACGCTGGGCGACGTGAGGACTTTGGACGGCCATGGTTGAAACGCGTCTGGCTCTGGAAGTGGCGGCATGTGCCGATTGACCCCAAGATATTTCGCTTTTTTGGGAGAAAACATGAGAAAACACATGATTTTTTGGGGTGAAGACTGGGGTGTTCCCATTTTTTGACGAAGCCAGATCGATGACTTTCTGATGAGAGTCGACTCAAAGTGCTCTGGGGTAAGGATTCGACCTGGTTCTGCTATGGTCAGCCTCGCTAGAGGGCGATTTAAGATAAGTAAGGAAGGTTCCCAGAGTCATGCAGGGTAGAGATAGAGCTTGAGATTCTGGGCAACAACAACTTGTAGGATGTAAATTAACATAAATTCACCACCCTGGCCCTGGGCACCTCACATGCGTCACATCTGTGTCAGAACCAGCCGAAGAGGATCCACAGGAAAATGAGAAAGATCGAGATCCCTGACCTGAAAATCGAAAAATCTGGGCTTGGGTTCGAAGATCCATGGGAAACCAATGCATCTTCGAATCTTCTCAAAAGAAAGGGGCTTCGTCAAAATCCAAAGGCTTCCTCTTCAAAGCAATGGGGTATAGGAAAACTGGATCCTTGTTCAACCCCGAAGCGATTTAAATCGATAGTTTCTGGTTGCATTTTATTCGAATTCCCTAAAGATTTCTCAGATTTGCCCAACGATCCAGAAAACACAAGGAGTTCTGCTATTTTCCAATTTTCCGCAGAGCGGCTTTTTTTGGATGCAGCATTTCGTGCCCCCAGTGATGTTTGGTATCTACCGCGAAAAACCATAGAATTCACCTGAGCAAATGTTCACCAACTTAGCCATTAACAAAGATCTCCCATGGCTTCCGTTTCGGGCATCCGCATCCACCGTTGCTGTTTAGCCAAAGAGCACAATCCACAGCCACTTCTTCTGCCAGCGCATCGTTTCCTCCATGATGGCAATGTACTCCAAAGGCGATCGTCCTGGCAGAAGCCATGGCAGAAGCCGTGGCAGCCATGTTTTTACGTCTTCCAATGGGGATTTTTAATGGGATAGCTGATAGCTAAGTTGGGGCAAATAACTAATTATAGGCTAACTGGTATGGTAGATATTTTATAAATATGGTAGATCTATCTATAGAATCTATAGTGAAATATCTGATACATATTATATAATATTATAATGTGCTATAATGAATATACTGATCTACCGTAAGTTTATAGATTATTATAGAATTACTTAGAACATCACTATCGGAGCCCAGGACTCAGGACCCGCAGCTTCTAGCAACTCCACTTTGACCTCACAACCTGCACTCCATGGCTCCTGTCAGTGGATCTGACTCCGGAAGTGCTTCGTCTGCAGGTTTTTTCAACAGCAGTTTTTGAACCTCCAACCTGCAGTGCGGCGACCCAGGACCCAAACCGGGATGCAACTCCTATACACAGATGCCCCGAAAGAACCACCTGTGAATCTCGATATTTGAAAATGATACTTAAGTACTTTCTCTGCCAAGTTACAGTATGTTACACTTCTTACCCCGAAGAAACCAATTTCAGCCAATATTTATCAAACCAGACAGGCATGAGTTGTTTTTTACATGCAACAGATTCTACTGTTGCCGTTGCTGGTTGCACTTCCATGGGTCAACCAATCAAGTTTCTGGTGCTCCTGGAGCCAACTTTTATGGATCCCTCGGAAACTGTCCTACATGTTCGAAGCACTGTAATGTAGTGTTGAAGATGTGACATATGCGTGTTACGCATGATCCAATAATATATATTTTAACAAATATAGTATGCGCCCAAAATATGCAAAAAAAAAAGTTAATGGCTTCACCCCCAGAAAAGCTGTAGCCAGTTGGAATCATCTCAACCTGGTTTGAAGTTTGAAAAAAAAACTGAATTTGTGGAAAGTCACTATTCCTCAAGTCATAGGACCATGAACTGTCACTTCTGAACATAGGTGAATCAATATCCAGGTGGTTTGAAACCACCATCCAGGATATGGCTTAGTCCAGAAATTGTGACTATCCAATCGTTATTGCAATGTTCATATGGAAAGTGATGTTCTAAGTCACCAAATTCAGAGGTTTTCCATGAAATGTTCAGACAACAAATGGGCCTTTCTGAAAATGTGGCATACCTTGCATTATTATATAGCTGTGTCATCTTCATTTTTCATGCGAAAATGATGATTTTAAATTTCAAATGATTCACCATCAACTTTTTAGGCTTTTCCAACTAAAAAGTCCCAAATAGCCATGTCATAGCCATTTCATCTCATTTTTCAGGGGAAAAAACAATCCTTCACCATCCTTCACTGGTCCTTCACCATCAATTTCTGTAGGTTTTCCACCACATGTTCAGCCACAAAAAATGCAGCCGGTCCATCTCCCAAGGTACAGTGCTGCAGGTCGGTCATCTTTGGGTTCCTCGTCCTCCTCGGCCTTGCGACCTGGGAGAACCGTGACATTTAAAAGCCCTGACTGGGATTGACTGGGTATCATTGACCATTGACTGGGATTGATTATAAAAAAATCTATCAACAATCATCATCAATATATCAACAATCAACATCTTCATTGTCTTTGCCATAAGTTGAACTTCTTTGACAAACCGGCCTTTGGTGGAGGATCGCCTTCTCATACCGCTCGGAGCAACCTTAGGTTGGTTGGAGATGTCCGGACTTTTCACCACAAGAAAGGGGAAATCAAGACCAATAAACCAGTGGATTTCAGATTAAGATGATTCAGCCTGATTTTCGGGTAGTCAGTAGTTCCATCTAAAATTGGGATCTTGGACATACTGGGATTGGTCTGAACTTGGGTTTTACCCTATATCTGATGCGGAAAAAACACATGGTTTCCTGCAAAATTTCCCTCAAATCAATCCATTGTTTGAACATCATTGAACCACCGAAATGGGACATCACTGTTTAGTGGGAATTGCCCTCTGGTAAACTAACATAGCTATGGAAAAATCACCATTTTTAATGGGAAAATCACCTATAAATGGCCATTTTCAATAGCTATGTAACAAATTACCAGAGGGTAAATGAAATAACTCGGAGGATCATCCAGTCATCTACCAGCCCCAATGTCCAGCCACTTGCAGGACCGAGGGACGGAAGCTCTGCAAGAGATGCAATCAAAAGCACTCTGAGGACCCTGGGTGAACCATCGTGCGGCATCGCTGTAGCCTCAAGGGCTTCGCAGTCCACTACAATTACTGGTTGGTTCAGAACGGGATTTCCAGTTCATGGATGATACTCTCTGGTAATGACTGTTACATAGCTATTGAAAATGGCCATTTGTAGTGGATTTTCCCATTGAAAATGGTGATTTTCCATAGTTATGTTAGTTTACCAGAGGGTAATCCCCAAGATATGTTCATAGTATAACCCCCTACAATCATCAACCCAGGGGTGTCTTGCAGTCACTGCTCACTTGCCGATGAGCGGTAACATATGGCACAGCATTCCATCCACAGGGAAACTCGTGAGTTTCGGCCATCAAAACTGTTAAATCTCTGTTTGTGAGGATTACGGGGCATCATCCTTAGATGCCATAGATATCCCATTCAATTCCCAGTGAAATCCCAATTTTGGCTGCTTAAATCCCCATTATGGATGCTTCAAACCACCGTTTTTTTCTCGAAGAAAATCCCCAGTGACATCGGGTTCCAGTGACCTTGCCAGTAGAGGCCTCGTAGAACGTCCTCCTCAGGAGGAAACACGGACCTTCGGCTGCGGTGCGGCACAGCCTTTTTTGACGAGTGAGATCCGATTTTTCTGGGCAGGTGGTGTCCTGCTGCCAGAGGTAGATTTGGATCTTTACCCTCTGGTAATTTAACATAGCTATGGAAAATCACCATTTTTAATGGGAAAATCCACTATAAATGGCCATTTTCAATAGCTATGTAACAGTCATTACCAGAGGGTAATTTGACCGTGGAAAAAAACGCTGGACTCGTCTGACCTCACTATTGCGCTATCCCATGACCATGGTTACTGGTAGACTATGCTACATGTCTGTGTATGCGGCAATGTTTGCAGATTCTAATGATGTACCCATACTGTTGATGATTATGTTTATATTATACATTATTTTATCTACATGGTTCCACTGCTGGATCCAATCATCAAGAGCACAGCTGGATATCGATGCAACGATCACCAAGTGTATGGGGGTGGCACATCAATGGGGTCCCACTGACATGATCCCTGGTCTACTGAATGTGTATGTATATATATATGTGTGTGTGAAACATGTATCACTGTGTGTAGGATGTTTTTAAACATGTACGCATATACAAATATATACATACGTTGATACAATGATATGATGATATGTATTTATCTATCTAATCGAATCGAATCAAATCAAATCGAATCTCATCTTATCTCATCTATCTACACATTACATTACATTATATACATTACATTACATTAGATTACATGAGATTAGATTAGATTATGTAGATTAGATTATATTACATTTATATTGCATTTAGGTAAATATTAATACGGAATAATACGGGTACAATATCAATAAATTATAATAATTTGAGTTTTAGCTCATCCTACATCCAGACCGGTTGTGGATACCATCGTGACCGTCTCGTGACGATCGTTTCTGAGGTGCCGACCACCAGGTGGGCACCGATGGCGCTTTGATGTCACTGGAGAGGTTCCGCAGCAACGCAGCCACGCGGATCACCAGGTCGCTGTCGGTGCCTCGTTTTAAATTCCGGGATTCCATGGCGATTTTTTCATTAAAGATTTGGGGATGGATCAAAACCCTGGTGCCTAGTGAACCCCAAAATAGCTGGTAAATGGATGTTCATCCCACTAAAAATGTATCTATAGGTATTGACCCATACCCATTTCAGCCAGGTGCCTCCTGGATAGTTTTTTTTTACATGATGATTACCAGTGGCTAGAATGGGGTACCCATTCTAAACCCTAATAATGTACTGGGATCACTCAAGAAGGATATTGGGGTAAGGGTCAAGCCTCTGGATTCTAAAATGCTCCTGCCCCAGCTGGGCCTTTCCAGGGAACCAGGACCTGCGGCCAGAACATGCCATCAAAGTAGGCATGGCCATCATAGCGATAGGGTCCAAAGCCACCCAGAATCCTCGGGATGTTAGAGGACACTGTGCGAACTATTCGGATGCAGCAGATTCTTGATACAACTTGGTCGTAACATATTCTACATACTATCATAGATCACGTCATAACACAATACTATATCACAATGTATACATATATGTAATTATATATATACTATATCACTATAACATACTATAACATTAGATTATTAACAGTATAATATACAATACGTACATGTAGTATCATACAATATTGAAAACATGTGAGGTGATCTTCAGGCCCAGGTTATGCAGCTACACCAAGCTGTTCAGTGCCTGCAATTTTGGTCCAGCTTCGGAACGTGGCATGAAGCTCTCAAGGCGTGGAAAACCGATTCTTTGCTGCTGAACCTTAGATTTTGCGCCACATAGGTGGACATTGAAATAGAAAATGGGGGCGGGTTTTTTCTAAGGAGTTCCCAAGGACCCTCAATGGCTTGGTGATTCTTACAGGATTTTGCTGACTCCATTTCTGATGGATTTACCAACCGGAAATTGAAGAAATGGCAGTGTGTCAATACCTATAGATACATTTTTAGTGGGATGAACATCCATTTACCAGCTATTTTGATGTTCACTAGGGGTACCAGGTTTTGACACACTGCCAAATCATCAAAAGCAAATCCAAGGAACTTGTTGACCACTTCCGCAGTGAAGAAGGGATACTTCAGGGATACCCGGGTCAGCAGGATCCGCACCCGCCCTGACAAGCTCTCGTGCGAGTTCTCGGGCAAGGCCTGGAAAGATGAGCCCATGAAACCTCCATGGGGATGTCCCGTTGCCATGTTTGCTGCAGGGTACCCTCTGGTAAACTAACATAGCTATGGAAAATCACCATGTTTAATGGGTAAATCAACTATAAATGGCTTTTCAATAGCTATGTTTGTTTACCAGAGGTTACGTCTTCGGGGTTCGAAAAACTCGAAGCACCTTGTGTTGGCAGGACCCCAGCATTCAGCTCAGTACCCTGCACAGCGATCTTGCCCTTTCAACGAAAGGTTGCTTTGCTATATGTGCCATGGTCCAAACATGGAATACGGGGGAACGGTCATCTATCACATGATTGGAATCCTCACAGTGGATATAAATCCCTATATTGATAGACTTCCCGGATATGGGTCAGTGTATAATCCATCTTTTGACTTGACTCTCGCATGAACTCAGAGGTCCATAATGACAGAGCCCCGGACTCTGGTGGTGGGGTCAGTGCATTTGAAACTATGGTGACTGAATATCGTGAAGGTCAAGAGAAGACCAGGGCCAACAATCGGAGCGCCCCAAGAGTTGGTATACGATAAGACAAGAGCATGCATCATGCACATAATTGTAGTGTCGCAAAATTTAACCCAAAGGGAAGTGGGAATCAAAACGAATAGGAAGGGTGAGGAATCGCAAGGCACGTAACTATATAATAATGATATATATATATATATATATATGCTTCCGGTGCGGTGGGCTATGTGAACATAACTGGTTGCATGCACCATCTGACAAAATGTTGGTCGGGACCATAATCCCAGGATCGAAAACGACAATATATCTGAAGAGCAACAAGTACTGATGTGTTGTATAATCCAACAAAAAAAATGGCAGGAGTTAACTCAACTCTCCATTCTCCGTCTTCCGGTGAATCCCGTGTAACTTATGGAGTTGTGAAAAATACCTTGTGCTTGAGCAAACTACAACCAAAACCTACTAACCTGGAAATGTTTGCCATGGGATGATTCGTCCCGCTTTTTGCAAATCATCTGGGTCGGTGAGTCAGGTGGTTTGATATACCTGGCTAGCTGGAAAAATATCCGTGTTGTTCGATTATATAATGTCTCATATAAAACATATATATATATACATACATATATATATATATAATATACACATACACATATATATATGTATACATATATATATACATATTCCCATCAAAAGCTAGCATCCTCGCCATGTCAAATAACCAGGGGGTGCACATCTAAATCCCTTTTTGGGGCAAAATCTCCATTTTTCTTACATTGCCAACGGGTACCCTCTGGTCGTTTAACACATGGAAAATTGCCCATTTATAGATGATTTAATACGATTTATCTATTTCAAACTGGTGATTGTCCAATTCGCAAGTTGTGGTTTTCACCATCCCCATGGAGCGCCTTCTGCAAGACTTCTTCAGCTGCGGGGAGCATGCGGAAGGGGTTGTACTTGCACTCTGGCTGTTTCCTCGGTACCCACTGGGCCGCTTGCTGGTTGGGATGATCCGCCAGTAAAATGGCGATTTTCCATAGCTTCGTTGGGTTTTTAGGCCCGAAAAACTCATTGGAGATCTCTAACCTGGGACGGTTTAACGCTGGGATTTGTCCAGCAGCATTTGTTACTGCAAACACTTGGGATCCTCTCAATTCTTGGAAATGACATCTCTCCAAAAGCACAAACCAGCAATTTCTCCCCAGCATTCTTGCTTCAGAACAGGCAAATCAATTTGGCAAATCACAAAGCATTTCTTTGGCGGACTCCCTTTGTTTTCATCACGGGTGGCCTCAGCATCACATTTCATCCCCTACCTATCCTCATCATGGATATCCCTCATTATCACACACCCAATTAAAATACATTCTTAGAATTTAGCAGACCCATTCGAAGGTTATCCCAATTTGATAACATACTGATTGGGATAATGAGGGAATATGGATATGTGCTAAATATCAGACACATTGGGATATGGATATCCCAATTTGAACAGAGTATCCATTCCTATCCGAAGGTTTCCAGCAATTTTGCTGCTTATCCCAGTTCCAGCAGTTTCCATCATTTCCCCATGATCCAAACGGATGTTCCCAGCAAAACCACGAGGAATTCTATCATTTTTGATGGCGAATGCCATTCATCCCATGAAATATGCCTGAAAAATCCCATATGCAGCATATATTTTACAGCATTTTTCCATCATTTCTGAGCTTCCCCTGATACCCTCAATAAATATTATCTTGATTAAATTAAGCATTAAAAAAATATATTATTGATGTTCAAAAAAATTATAGTATTTTATACCAATGTGAATGTTAATTGTGACATTGCAACTGGTAAACTAACATAACTATGGGACATCACCATTTTTAATGGGAAAACTCACTATTTCTATGGCCATTTTCAATAGCTATGTAACAAATTACCAGAGGGTATTCCCCAGCATTTTCCCAGCATTTTGATGGCTCCAAGAGGCTTCACCACCATCTCAAAGATCTCCCTGGGCCGCAGCCCCGTGCCCAGCGCCGTGGCAACTAAGGCGCCGCCGCTGGAACCGCTGAAGGTCAGGGATGCCGGGAAGGCCGTCGTGGTGGCAGCCTCGATGTGGTTTTTCATCTGGTTTCCTATGGTTTTCCTATGGTTTTGATCTGATTTTCATAGGATTTGATGTGGTTTTGATGTGGTTTTATAAACCTATCGATGGTTTGTTTCCTATGGTTTTGATGTGCTGAAAAATCTGGCTAAATATCTGCTTGATGGGTTCGTAACTTGTGAACAACCATCAGAAAAAAACAACTTGGAGGATCTTCCCACAGATCGCAACCAGTTTGTGACCATACTATGCGGTATAGACCATGTACAACCCACAAATTGGGGACTTATCATCAGGGTTGACCATTTGCGATCGATGTCCTGATGAACTTCTTGCAAGAGATAAAACTTAATCAATCTTAATCACCAAAATAGAGAGTTTGGGTATTATGGGTATTCTGAAGTCTTTAAAACTTAATCAATCCTAATCACCAAAAATAGAGAGTTTGGGAATTTCTGAAGATTTCTGAAGTCTTTAAAACTTAATCAATCTTAATCACCAAAATAGAGAGTTTGGGAATTTCTGAAGATTTCTGAAGTCTTTAAAACTTAATCAATCCTAATCACCAAAATAGAGAGTTTGGGAATTTCTGAAGATTTCTGAAGTCTTTAAAACTTAATCAATCTTAACACCAAAATAGAGAGTTTGTAGTTTGGGGTATTGATGGGTATTCTGAAGTCTTTAAAACTGTAATCACTCCTAATCACCACCAAAATAGAGAGTTGGGAATTTCTGAAGATTTCTGAAGTCTTTATTAAAATTAATAAATATTAATCACCAAAAAATAGAGAGTTTGGGTATTGGGTATGATGGGGTTATTCTGAAGGTCTTTAAAACTTACTCATCTGTAATCACCAAATAGAGAGTGTGGGAATTTCTGAAGATTTCTGATAGTCTTTAAAACTTAATCAAGCTTAATCACCAAAATAGAGCGTTTGGGTATGATTGGGTATTCGAAGAGTCGTTAAAAACTTAAATAAATCCTCACACAAAATAGAGAGAGTTATTTGGAATTTATGAAGATTTCTGAAGTCTTTAAAACTTAATCAATCTTAATCACCAAAATAGAGAGTTTGGGTATGATGGGTATTCTGAAGTCTTTAAAACTTAATCAATCCTAATCACCAAAATAGAGAGTTTGGGAATTTCTGAAGATTTCTGAAGTCTTTAAAACTTAATCAATCTCAATCACCAAAATAGAGAGTTTGGGTATGATGGGTATTCTGAAGTCTTTAAAACTTAATCAATCCTAATCACCAAAATAGAGAGTTTGGGAATTTCTGAAGATTTCTGAAGTCTTTAAAACTTAATCAATCTTAATCACCAAAATAGAGAGTTTGGGGATGATGGGTTTATTCTGAAGTCTTTAAATTACCTTCAATCATAATACACCAAAATAGAGGTTGGGAATTTCGGAAGATTTCTGAAAAGTCTTTAAAACTTAATCAATTTAATCACCCAAAATGAGAGAGTTTGGGTATGATGGGTATATTCGTGAAGTCTTTAAAAATTAACAATCCAAGCACCAAAAATAGAGAGTGGGCATTCTGAAGTTCTGAAGTCTTTTTCAAAACTGAATCATTTAACACCAAATAGAGAGTTTGGGAATTTCTGAAGATTTCTAAAAGTCTTTTAAACTAATCATCCTAATCACCAAAATAGAGAGTTTGGGATTTCTGAAGATTTATGAAGTCTTTAAATACTAATCAAATCTTAATCACCCCAAATCGAGAGTTTGGGTATATGGGTATTCTGAAGTCTTTAAAACTTAATCAATCCTAATCACCAAAATAGAGAGTTTGGGAATTTCTGAAGATTTCTGAAGTCTTTAAAACTTAATCAATCTTAATCACCAAAATAGAGAGTTTGGGAATTTCTGAAGATTTCTGAAGTCTTTAAAACTTAATCAATCTTAATCACCAAAATAGAGAGTTTGGGTATGATGGGTATTCTGAAGTCTTTAAAACTTAATCAATCTTAATCACCAAAATAGAGAGTTTGGGTATGATGGGTATTCTGAAGTCTTTAAAAC